TCCTCCTCCTCCTCCTCCTCCTCCTCCTCCTTCTCCTTCTCCTCCTCAGCCTCATCATCACTTTTCACCCCTCTTTAAAGTCGAAATTACGCACTTTCCCAGTTTATGTGAGATTTAAGCCACTTGCTCAATTTAAAAAGAAAGTGAAATTAGGTAGTTTCGTGTACTTTACTGCAACTGCATCCGGTCTTTGAAACAACCATGTGAAGCAAAATTTTCGATGGTAGGAAAATTGTGGTGGTGAAATGACTCATTTCCCTCCATAAATGTCACATTTTGAATTCCAAAGATCTTAAAGTGCTTTCTCATTTAATTACCTCATCTAAAGCATACATCTCTCACCCCCACCTTGGGATATAAAGCGTAATTGTATAGGAGAGGCGAAGTTGTCACTCACATAAGAAGTACCTTTGGGCGTTCGCGATGCCATTTATAAAATTGGATAAAATGACTTGAGGCACATGAAACGTTATCAGTAGTAGAGAATATTCAACACTAATATTTTTAGTATTGCAAAGCTCACGTGATTCATCAGAGCCTAAAAATACACTCAAATTGCTCAGCAAATTAATAAGCTCCATGGGCACTACCGCCACGGAGAAGGGGAAATTGATCAAATCAGTCCATCAAAAAATGTTAACCTGACACTTTTAAAAGGCGAGTCTGGCTCTTCCATTATGTGCACAGTATCTCGGCAGTGCTATTTTCTCTCCAAGCTAGATTCAGATGCCAAACAGTAGTTAGGGGTAACTGCATCCAACTGTAAAATTGTGACATTCACGAATGGGTTGTTTTGCTTGTAGAAAACTTTATTCCTTTCATCAAAATAATAAGGTGCTTCCATCCTGATTCACAGGAAAAAAAAGGGGCAGAAGGGGTCTACATAAAGCTGGACATTTTAGAATTGATGATAAGTAATTATGACAGACGAGGTCAGGTTTCGCGATCACCAAATTTAGGCATCTGCTTATTACTGTAGCACAAGACAGCAAGTAGTAAAATATTGAATAATTAGGAATGATTTAAAGCCTCTTTTGGGGATAGACATGCATATAAGCATTACAGTTTCTCATCAGTTTCAGGCAAAATTTCAGCAACTACTTTTATTTCCTAGCTTACGCTACTGATTATTATTTCAGTAAAATGTCTTGCGGAAAAATTTGATACTGCGAATGTAGGGACAGGGCTTTTAAAGCTGGTCTTAGTGATTAGCAAACTGGTGGGTTCCACAGTCATAGCCACTACAGCAAGGGAGAGGTAGCGAGCTACGGAGAATGAATGTCAACCAATTTGTCGAAGCATGTCACCTGGCGCAGTTGACAGGCGCAATAACATTCCCGATTATTGTTTCGGTAGTATGTATCGCTACTATATTTAAGATTACACATCAGCTTGGGAGTTCCGGTGCCGAGGTCAGGAGTCCAAGGAAAGTTAAATAAGTAGGGCATCACCCACATGAGAAAATAATACGTGACACAAACAATGGAATTCGCATGACTTTGGACATACTCATTTGGCCAGTCTTCCGCTCAGGCCGATGACGCAGGCCAAAGCAATAATTTTTCTATTATGGCAATTAAAATCAGCCACGTTGTAGCAATTTTGGCTCAATCTTGGGCACTCCACTGTTTTAAGTCTCGATTAAAATCAAACTATGAGCCTGTGGCGAGGAACAAGTGACCCTAGATGAACAGCAAGAATAACGTTTGTAAGGAATCCGTGAATCGTTATGGGAGGTTAGTCCTCTTTTAGTAACTTAGGTTACGCATTGCGCAACTCTGTTTTATGCCCTTTGGCGACAGTAAAGTTGTCGTCAAGGCGACTATTCTGTATCAGCGCTACCGGCCTATAATCCATGGCCGTGTGATTTTAATTGGTGAGAACAATATTATTTCTTTGGAATAAAACAATACAGCCTGTTCTCTAGAAAGTTTACCCAAGCAATGAACACCACTTTTCGACTTTATTAATCAAAGATAAGTTTTTTTGATTAAAGGCCGCAAAACTAAAGAAAATATCCAGTTGATAGTAGCCTTATATTTGGTCCGATATATCGTGTTCGGGTCCAAAATAAACTGCAAAATACATCACATCCGCAGCATCGTAAAATCGGGTTCGTAAACGAGCATTACCTAGCTTTAAATCAACACGCCTCATAGTTTACTTCTAAGGGTGAACAGCCTTGAGACGCGATTATCTCTTTCTAGAAAGTTCCTAGGGGACTAACTTTTGTACAGATCAGACGGGATAAGCAATCACCGGGGTCTTAGAGGAGAATCAACTACCACAGTCCTGCGGTTCGGTAGTTCTATCGTAACGCCAACAGTCATTATGATGCAGGTATAAAAGGATAGGACTAAACGAAATGTAGTCATCCTCGAACCAATAGTATGATTTTACCCCATTTTGCTGCATCATACTCAACCAATAAATTTGAGATACTTGATCTGATACAATCAGTCAGCACAGACTGAAATTGCACCCATGTCACATATATGTGACGCCTCAGGCAAGAAAACCTGGACGTCACATATGAGTGACGCTGACAGTGAACACGCAGAAGCTGAGTCATGTGTGATGCTTGCTTCACTTTTTACCATACTTTTGAAGAAAAATACACAGTCGGGTGTTGAGTTTCTTCTATACTTCAGCTAACCATTGAGAGTTATTGGAAGGTACAGACACCCGTGCGATTTTGATTTTGAAAGCATGAGGAAATATCTGGAGAAGCTAATGTTAGACTTAACGTTGCAAGCACGTCAAAGGAAAGCCATGGCTGAATTAATCTTTCTTGCCATTACGACATCAGACTCAATGCCTTAGTGATGTAGTTCGACAAGTCCCGATTTCATTCGGTTTTCGATACAAAGGGAAATTGTAGTAAATGGGACCACAGATTGTACTGTAAACGATTTAATAACCCTCAACAACGAGTTATTTCACACTCATGATGCCCTATCATTAAGTGACCCACTGATACCGATTCCCCGCTGTCCCCGAAGGCGCAAAGAGAGAAGGGTTTGAGTGCGTTCCATTCTTCAACGCCACTTTCTCTCAAGCCCACAGGTCCGCATGCACATGCGACGCGCAGAAACTGCTTGGGTGGGTGTGAGCAAGCTCAATGAGTGAGAATGAGTAAACATAAAATGATAATCTGTGGTTGCTTCTTCTTAGAGTTTGCCTTTAACGCGCTGCTCGTGGATCGCCCGACGCACGGAGTTAAGGCTGTCAAGGACCTCGCGAGAGCGTGGTGTCTCTATGACGGAGCCTCCAGAGGCGGGAGCACAGCCACAGACGGAGGTGCGGGAGGGCGCCGGAGTAGTGTGTGCAGAGCCAAAGCCAGTAAGGCGCTTTAAGGGTCTTGGCGGACCCAGTTGGACGGAGCGGGCCGAGGAGCATCGAGGGCGACTCCTAGGCAACGAAGCGTCCAAATCTAGAGCAGACCCTTTGGTAAGGCTCTGCGCAGTGACGGGAGTAATGAAGTATTCCTTGTAGTGCTTTAAAAGCACCTCCCTTGAGGTTTCTGGGCTAGGCCGAATGTTGCGCAGACGATTAGCCAAAATCTATGGTAGAAGAGAAAACTAGGAGTTAGTCTCAATTGGTTCTCTGACGCGGCTCTGCGATTTCCGCGCTAGTAATGTAACACCTTGTCAAGTAACTGAGAATTTCACATCCACTGGATTTTACAATTTACATCAGTGCATGTGAATTTCCTTCCATTGTTAAGACAGACCCCTATAGATACACTCCTAAACCCAATTTTACATAAAATGTCAACTCAAAAATCCAGTTACTTAAATTCACATCATACACATTGACATGGAAAATGGAGGAAAAATTTTGAAGTCCTCACAATTCCAAGTGCTAGATAGATCTTCACCACTTTTGAAAACCAAAATGACAATAGTTTTCATCAAGTCTGATAGAATGAAATGGAAGTTCGCACAAAGTTTTCCATTTGAATACGTTCCTGTTGTCGCCAACGATTGAGGGTTGAGTGGTAGGGTCGACGAACGGCTAATTGAGGGGTAGATGAGGAGGATGTGTTGGCGTTGGTGGCAGCTGCGAGGAGGAGGTGATTATACTCTCGTAGCATTGCTTCTACTGAAGCCGTCTCGTCACTAGGCAGGAGTCGCGAGTTGGGGTCACGCCATAGAGGCCGAATGCTGCGGAAACGAGCATCCCGGGACAGTTGGCGCAGCGCTTCTGCCAGTTCTGCTACGCTCAGCTCCGATTCCACGCAACTACCAGTTCTGCCAGTGTTGCTATTGTAGTGGAGACAACTACCAGAGGTGGATGGGGATGGGGATCTGCAGAAAGTAGAGGAAGTAGTGGAGTAGCGATGTCTTGATACACTTATAGAGGTGCCCCCTGCACCAATCCCCTTAGTCCGAGAGGTTCGCCAAACCTGAAGATTCCATGTGGTGGGGTCTGAGGGGGTAGACCGTGGTGCGGATGACTTTTGTTTCTGTAGAATAGCCTTCTTATGATCAGACTTTGTTACCAGTGACTCTTCTGACCAAGCGTTTGATGCTGCAGACGCAGGAGGATCCAGGGAAGCTTTCGAGTTATCATCAACTAAGAAGAAACAACACATCGGTCTTTGTAGGCTATCTTGATCACAGCACTTATAAGAAATTTTTCTGGTGATCAGTTCCAGGTGTAAATAGATTTACCCTTTTATACTAAATGAAATCTAAGGAAACAGAAATTATTTAGCTGAAGCAAAGCAGATTTCGAAGGTCCTCATGTAGGAAACTTGCTACTCATTCAGAATCAATAAGATATAAAGACTACGTTCTATTATAGGTGCAAGAAAGAATTATTCGCAAAAAACATGCAAACAATTTGTTCAAATATTAAGTTTAAATTTTAAAGAGGGATTACGTATAAAGAAATTGGGGTTTGCTAAATCATACGTTCTTCGATTTTCGACGTTATCGAGGCAACAACTGTGGATTCATCTTCTTCCTTCTCAACTGTAGAATTAATATCAGGAATATTTGAGGACGAAGAAGACCGCAAATTATTCGGTGTTGATTTGGATTCATTCAACGATTCTTCTACCAAATCATCACCAAGGTCTGTTGTTTGGTGATCCCCCTGTTCCGTCTTAACATATTCAAAATATGAGGAGGGCCGCTTCCTAAAATAGACTCGGACTAGTACTCTTACAAAAAACAACAAATACAACAGTAGAATTTGTTTAAAGAAAGGCAAAAAGGCACCTTAAAAAGTTTTACGCCAAAAAAATCAGATTGCGCCTTTATTATACATAAAAAATAAATTATTTGCATTATAGCTCTAACAAACAAAAATCCCCTAGCATACATAAGCACCGTTATAAATTCTTCTATGGATTTTAAAAGGAATTAAATCACTTACGATGCTGATAAAAAAGATAGTAAATGATCATACTTAACCAATCCCAATTATTCAACAAAGGAAAATTTAAAATTAGGGCTGCCACAGAAAGAAATATGGAGTGGCTAATCCACTGGCAAAATACCCTTTTAGCTTTTCTTCAGTGCAAGGCTCTTCAATGGCATCTCCATAAAAGCTGCTGTCGTGATTTTGAAATTCATGTAAATTGTTACTCATTGAATAACCCTAAAAATGCGGTAATATTTGCCGCATTATTTCCAAATCGCACCTTAAATTTGTAAAAAAAGTACCAACGTCTCACACCAACGTCAATGAAAACCACATGATTGCAACATTATCGGTCCTGATGCGCAGAGAAGCGTGTCGTGTAATGAATAAAACTAAAATAACGGGAGCTGCCTATCATCACAACGGAGACTTATTAGAAGATTTAAACACTGAAAGGATTGAACACCAAAGTATGAACCAAAAGGAAAAGCATTTTACAATCTTAAAGTACGCTCCCGCGTTAAAATTTGACGGTCATAAAAACAGAAAAATGTACTAAATTGGACACCTTATTCAAGAAAGCAAATGATTGTGAGCAAGGAATTGCACCATGTTTTTGCTGTAAAATGTGGTTCTCTAACTTTAAATTTAAAGTTTTAGCTAAAAAATTCGCATATACTAGCAAAATACTAGATTTGGTGTAGCTTCAATTATTTTATGCGCTATGATTGTCCCTTTTCATCTAAGTTGCTCTTGCAAACACAAGACTGATTTCGTTTAGTTATGTGGAAGTTGCCAAACATGCAGACAAAGGGGTTTCTAATAGGGATTAGGCCTGTAGAAGTCTCACTTGCCAGTGGCCTTCACACTGAATGCGCGATTATGATACCTGGTAAAAGTAGGTGTCATCCTAACGCGTGTGTTGAAAGTTATTGTTAAATAAACTACCCACAGCAATCGCCCTCTTAATGCATTGTTAACCCTTAAAATGAGTGCTGTAGATTAGGATTCTTTGCTCTGAATAAGGTTTGCCGACCGCTGCCAACGGAGATGCGCCGAGAATCCTTTTTTTCAATTTCTTATTACGGTGTTTTGATTGTCTGTGTACATTTTTGTTTCGTTTACGTAGGCAGGGTTGAGTGTGGCCACATGAGTGGATAGCTGTGTAAACACGAAGGAGTGTACGATTCGGGGACCAAAGGTCCTGCGTATTTATGCACAATGTCCAGTTACCAAATGCCAATGATAGCACTGAAGGCATTTAAATCAGCAAGAGTAGGGAATCGATTGGAGTGATTGAACAAATCCATATGTGTATGCTAAAACCAGGCAAATTTTACTCCTTTGTAAAGTATTTTCAAACATGTACGTTTGTACATGAATTTAGGCTAAGTTGTTGTAGCTGAGAAGTACCACATCTTTGCAAGTTTAGATGTATCATTACACAGTAATCTGACGCTCAACTCTCAGGAAAACAGGCTCTACTGTAGCGCCTCTAAATTTTCCCTGAGTACAAAAGAATAAATGATACTCGGGCAGAATATGTATACTCGGCATGTCCCAAAGCTCAGCCCACCAGGAAAGGTTCAATAGCCAAGACAAAGTAGCCTTTTACCAAAATTGACCGTTAAATGAGCAACTAGTCCTTCTTCCCTTTTTAGTCTTGTCCCCGGAGCTCCCCTCGTTCACCCTCTTGCTTCAGCGATCACTACGTAGTCGGTGCTGTAAGGAAACACCCCAAGGGCCGGTCGTACCAGCCAACAAATTTCTGTGCAACTAAAGAGACACTTGACCACAATGTCGCTGATCTCTCTTAGTAGTTCATCTGGATCTGAAGTTTTGTCTGGTTAGAGAAATGGAATCAAGAACGTGCCCATAGAGGTAAGAACACTGACCTGAAAGCAGATTTGTACAAGGAAGGCCGGGATTTAACACAGGTCCGTGGGGGAAGGGGTTTGCGTCTGTTCTGCCTTTCGCGTTGTTCTCACTTCAGTGCAGCCCAGTCATATCTATCTAGGCTCTATCCAATTAATTGAGAAGTAAGGAGGTACCGCAGATTTACTTTATTAATAGCTTTATGCGGGTACGGTAGGGGAACTCAGCAACGAAGCTATTCCAGATGGTTTACGGTCAGTGTCACTGCAGTTGCTAAGTAGTTTCCTGCAGAACACTAGACTGGGGTAGTTGCCAAATGTAAACGTCCATTCTACTACTGACTGACCCCACACTATAATTGCAGCTTTCCAAGGCCTCCTTGAAGACAAAAGGAGACACATTGTTTGGGCAGAATACATAGGTTCAACATGCAGTGGTGTAATACATTAGTTGTCTAACTCTCGGTTTTGGCGAAGAGCCATTTTAAGTTGGCCGTTGTACCTCACCGAGTGGGCTGGCCTTTGGGCCAAGCCAGTAGCCCAAATACCTTCTCTGTGCTGAATATGTATGTTCGGACTGCATATCACTTCTTCTTTTACCTTTAGGGGAGTCTTGGAACGCTGCATTATTGGCAACGGAAAGCGAATGCGATCTCAAAGGATATCTGTCCTTGCTTCTGCTGCTGGGTGATAGACCATAGCGAATCGCGAATGCTACGAATGTGTAATACGATAGTGGTTTATCCCTCGGTTCTGGTGAGGCTCCACTTTTGTACTTCGAATTAGCCCCCTTGTACCTCGCTGGGTGGGCTGGCCTTTTGGGCCATGCCAATAGCCCAGACACCTTCTCTGTGCTGAATACATATATTCTGCCCTAGTACTCTGTCTTCTTTTGTCTTCAGGGAGTCTTGGGACGCTACACTGTTGGCAGCGGAAAGCCAACCCGATCTTAAAGTACATGTATCCTGATTTTCCACTTCTGCGTGATAAGCCTTAGTGGGACGGAAGAAGTACATATGCTACGGATGGGAGAATGGTGATGACTCCTAACAGAAGGGTTGATGTTGACGTCTACCTCCGGCATCTCTCCCAGTCCCGTGTTCTGCAGAAAAGCTATTAACAACTGAAGCGACACTAGCCGTAAACCATCTGGAAATTTTCTTACAGACTTTCCTTACCGTCCCCCATGGACATGTTTTAAATCTTGTACTTCCTTACTCAAATCTGCTTTTAGGCCAGTGTTCCTGCATCTATCTATGGACACGCATGATGGCCGGCGCAGTTCCCCGTCCTGAATGAAATCCCTAAACCGGACGAAACCCCAGATCCAGTCAAGCCGCCAAGAGGGATCAGTGACGTTGAGGTCAAGTACCCCCTCAGTTGCGCGCTAATTTGGTGAATGGCACGGTCGGCTCCTGGGTGTTTCTTTACTGCACCGACTACGTTGTAATGGCTGACGCGGGAGGTTGACCTGCGGAAGCGCCGGGGACGACGCTCAAAAGAGGAGGGAGGCTATGTAATACGATAGTGGTTTATCCCTTGGTTCTGGTGAGGCGCCACTTTTGTACTTCGATTTAGCCCCCTTGTACCTCGCTGGGTGGGCTGGCCTTTTGGGCCATGCCAATAGCCCAGACACCTTCGCTGCGCTGAATATGTATTCTGCCCGAGTATTGTGTCTTCTTTCGTCTTCAGGGAGTCCCGGGACGCTGCAAATGAGAATCGGTTACGACCGCAAACAAAAGTGTCAAAATTATATTCTGGTGACTTTTCACAAACAAAGTGGTAACGCATCACTAACGAGATAATAATAAGGGTAGTAATGTCATGCACTCAATGAAATATATAACAAATAAATATTTGTACAAACTAATATTTACTTTTATTTATTTATTTTATTTATTTAATATTTACTTTATTTATTTACTTTACTTTTTTTTTTTAGCGTTTTAAAGTTTTAGTAAAAATACGCCATTGTTTGCATAAACTATGAAAGAATTACAAGGCCATATTTCTTTAAGTAAATTGAACGTTGATCATAACTCCTTGCGTCCTTATAATTCATGATCAACTTTGCTCTACTAAACAAAATTAGAATTTGGCAAATATTTAATGAGTAATTTTTGTTGACATAAAAGTCCATTTCTTCAAATAAATTAAAAGTTTACTAAAATATTACATAAGTTTGTTTCTTGAATTTAACTGTGGTTTAAGGTTAGCATTTAAAACTGGGAGCTTGGCGCTTTTTCAAGTAGCGTGCTGTACCTCTTTGCGTTATGGCTGAGCTTCTGTCCACTGAGTGGCTTAAGGATTTGCCCCTGAAGGATCGTGATTCGTATGTTAATACGGCAAAATGTCTTGAGCAGGCTGAACGGTTCGATGACATGGCTGTTTGTATGAAGGAAGTGACGAGGTTTGACAAGGAATTAAACAATGAGGAACGAAATCTCCTTTCCGTTGCATTTAAAAATGTTGTTGGGTCTCGACGCAACTCTTATCGAGTGCTGTCAAGTCGGCTGGCTCGAACTCAGGATCCTGAAAAACAGGCTCTTACGAGGGAGTATTTAGATATTCTTCAGAAAGAACTTAATGCCATCTGCTCGGATGTCTTGGTATTTCTCGATATTTGTGATATTTTTAGCAACTCATTGAGGAGAGGCTATATCCTTCATGTTCCAATGCCGAGGGGAAGGTCTTCTACAAGAAGATGATGGGGGACTACTATCGATATAAAGCAGAAAACGCCAAAGGCGAGGACCACAAGCAGGTCGTGGAGGCCTCTCTTAAGGCTTATGAAGAGGCCACTGAGATTGCAAACGAGAAGCTTAGTTGCACGCATCCAATTCGTCTTGGTCTTGCTTTGAACTATTCCGTCTTTTATTATGAAATCATGAATAGTCCTGACAGAGCGTGCCAACTTGCTAAGAAGGCTTTTGATGATGCTGTCAGCGATGTTGACAGTGCCAACGACGATTCGTACAAGGACAGTACTCTTATCATGCAGCTCCTTCGCGATAACCTTGCAGTAAGAGCCCGATTTTTTTCTCTGTCTACCTTTGCTTTAGCTTTGGACCTCCGATCCCGAGGAGACTGAGAATACCGAGGGTGCTGAATAAATTACGGAATGAATTTTTAAATTATTTCAGTCACGACAATCATAAATATTATCGTTGCTGTGTAGTTTGCACTTTTGTCTTTGTGCCGTGGGTACAGGATGCCATTGCTGCTCATCCGTGAGTTGTGAGAATTGTCCTGTTAGCAAACACTTTCGCATGGGATGTTTACTAAGTTTTGAGGGGGAATGTGACTACTTTTTGGTCAAGACGTTGTTACTCCTGGTCATCGCAGGGCGAGTCGTTCTCGGTTTATTGATGGCATTGGCAGATCTCGGAACGTGGGGGCGCTGTCTGCTCGGGTGAGGCTAAGCCCGCCTCGAGCTGCAGCTGGTTGGGGAATTCGGCGGTACAGTAGGGTAGACGACGGGTGATTTATGTGGTGGCATTTCGGTTTGAGCTCCGGCCCCTCTGGTGGCGGTGACATCGTTCTCGGTCTAGTGCCTGGTTGGAGTTACATTAAAAAAGCAGGGGGTTTTCCCCTCAATAGGGTACGGGAGGGGCGTTGCTTGTTTGTGGACGTGAGTCATCGGGTCGGGACACTCGGTGCATTGGTCATTGACCCGACTGAGATCGCACGTTGGAGCAAGTACGCACTTTCCCACCCTTTGTATCTACTTGACTCCAAGCAAATGCGAGTCGGAAATCTCCTTGACTGATTTTTTACTTTAAAACATGGGGATGGAATCACTTGTGGATCTGTCAGTTATACCGTATTATTCATTGATATCTCAGAAAGATTAATGCGGAAAATTTCCACTTCCTAGATTGCGTTGACAGGGGATGTGGCAAAACATTGCTAATGAGACGCACGATGTTGAGGAGAAAAATTTAGAGACTACGCTCGGCTTCCTCAGCAATTCAGCTGTTGTAGTGGTAAAATCGCCATAAAAATCTACAACTCGAAAGCGTACAGGCATCCACCAGTCAAACGTGCTGAAAGGGTAATAAACCACTAACTAATCACAAATTAATTTTTAAGTAAAAAAGGTGATAGTTAAGGGTGACAATCGCAGCCGAGTGGACACCTTTTAAATTGTTCATTTAACTACGCGGACTCCGTGGCTTGTGCCTCCATAGTTCCCATGGTCCTCACCCACCGGCCCTTCTGTATGGCGATAATAAGTATTTTTCGGTACCAATATGCCTTTTCTTGTCTTCGGGGATGTCAAAAAGAACTACAAAGCCACCGACGACCCCATACCTTGCAAACGTTAGAATAATGTAGGTTTTTAAAAAAACCAATTTTAGGGAATTCCAGAGAAGTGATGTGAGGCACCGATGTGTTTAAAATTTTTTAAGTGTAGTGCAATTTAATAAGGAAAAGACGCTTTGAAGTATCTGGCAAAAGCTGGCACTAATTTGCAATCCGGGACATGCCTGCAGGCGCGTGAGCAGGCATCAGGGTGGGGAAATTGGCCAGCTGAAGACACAAGTCATGATTAATGCGCTGGGAAATTCCATCAGCAACTGTGACCCGAGAAAAGACATTTGCGTAAATAACTACGAAGATTTACTTCTGCATGGCATAGGTGTTAAAAGCATACAAGTGTAAAACAAAGTCATTTACGTTAAAGATGCACAAAGCTGTCTCAGCAGTAAGTTTGAACAATGTCTTTATTTGGAAGATTGTATTTTAATGTCGCAAGTAGAATCACAAGCAAGGCGCTGATGCGCTAGCACAAATTACAGAATCGAAGTGTTATTTTTACACAAGGTAGACGAACAGAGGGAAGGTATGGAGAAAAGCATTGGAAGAGAAGAATCTCCACCTTAAAGCCCACAACTCCAAATTGAGAAATATGTTCTAAAATGAAGTTAAACTGTTCGTGCTTTGACGCGACATTTCGTTTAACTTCGCGTTTACCCACGCAGGCAATCCAGTCGCTGGGGGCTGTGCCTCTGCTCTTCCGCATGGCTTTTGGGCTATGCAATTAGCCTCTCATTCCTTATGCTTTCTCTTAACACGTTTTTCCCTACGCTATTTTGAGTTATTAAGTCTTAACCGAAGATTCGGGATGCCTCAACCCACACCCTCAAAAATATTTGAAATTTTGAAGTATTCCTAAGACTGTGATCATTAGAGCAAAGTTACAGTGGTTACGAGTTCGATCGTAGATTCTTTACCTCGGCTAATGCACAAACTTTCATTCGATCGCAAATCTTCATGTAACAAAGTTTTGACCATTTGATAAATTACCCAAAATGTTTCCGAAGAGTAAATGCCTTAAACTACATTTTTAAACATTAAAGACCTATACAAAGGCCAATTACAGTAAACTACTGGCGTTAAAACCTTTATTTATTAAGTATAAGGTGAGTACTCAAACATATTACGGTGCTGTTTTAATTGACCTATAAACCGGTGGGTGCTTCACTTTTACCAATCACATGTTTGCGGGACAGTTGTTGTTGCTTCGTATTGCACATAATCGCTTCTTGCACTTTACATTCTGCAAACGATACATAGGAGGCTTTTCAACGATTATGGCAGTTAAAGAAGGCTCCGCTCTTATTAATTTACCTGAAGGAGTCTTTTACAATCCTGTTCAAGAATTTAATCGTGACCTCACAGTAGCTGTTGTGAAACACTATGCCAAAATACATCTTGAGGAGTTTATAAATAAAGGCATTAAAAAGGCGGGCGAGAATGGACGTCCGGAACCCGCGTCATATCTCGGGTTGTCTGTACTTGAGGCTCTAGCCGCCTCTGGCCTCCGTTCCGTCAGATTTGCAAAAGAGGTTCCACTTTTGTGCAAGATAGTCGCAAATGATCTCGATCCAGAAGCAACGAAACTGATTGGTGAAAACGCCAAGCTTAACACTGTTGAAGATGTTGTTATGCCGTCCTGTGCTGATGCCGTTAAGTTAATGCATGACTCTGTAAAGAATAAGTGAGTTCCTTCTGTACTTGGGTGTTTGTAATTGAGGGTGGTAGAAGCCGCGAAAATGCCAACCGATTTGTCCAAAATCTTCATAGGATTTGATTAAACAAAATTAAAAACTGATCCTTCTAGACATCATATTCTTGCTCTACCGGTTTTTATTGTACACCGAATATGTTGCTTTTTTGAAAGAAATGTCCTGCTTGCGTAGCACTTATTCACTATATACACTTTCTTAAACTAAATGAAATGTTATTAAATGCATAAATTCGTGTTTCCATCTACTGCAAAATTATCTTTATTCATTCCTCAATCTACCATAGGATTTTCTATCTAGGGGCTGGCAAACTGGTTCTACCTATCAGTTTACGCAATGACAATTGCAGTATTATTAATATTTAGTCTATACTTATGAACCTAATCTATTCCTGCCTTTCTACATTGTCTTAGTGTTTCGTGCTCCGATTTTGCCTAGATTCCACGTTGTTGATATTGACCCGTATGGCACCGCAAGTCCATTTCTTGACGCCGCCGTCCAATGTCTCTTTGACGGTGGTCTGCTCTGTGTGACCTGTACTGACATGGCTGTCCTTTGCGGCACTGCTGCTGGCACCGCATATGGCAAGTACGGAGGAGTTGCCATCAAGATGGCAGCTCAGCATGAGCAGGCATGCTACTAATAAATTTTAGTATACATTTTATTTAATGCTGTAGTCAAGTATGAATTTAAACATATATCATCTTACTGCGCAGTCTTTTGTCCTATGCAATTTAGGAGGAAGTGCTCCCTATTTTCTGCTTTTCAGGGTCTGCGACTGCTGCTACACGCGATACAACAGGCGGCGAGTCGGCATGACAAGGTAATCGAGCCCCTTCTCGCACTCTCGGTAGATTTCTACGCTCGCGTCTTTGTACGGGTTCGAACTAGCCCCTCGGGGGTCAAGCGCATCGCATCGCGATTGGCCATCGTCTATTCCTGCACAGGTTGTCAGGTAGGGTTATCCTGTCCTGTTTCCTTTGTGGTGTCCTAATTTTCGACATATTGTGACAATGATAACAGATTTTCGGTGTGGACATGGTAGCTAGATAGATTTAATTGCTCCGTAGTGATGCGCATGATTGAAGCAGAAGTAAGTACGCCACCTGATGATCTTTTGGACGGTCTCTGGGGTGCTAAATAGCCATCTTGGGGGCGATGATATGACGAAGGTGTTGGTAGAAAGAAGGTTCCCTGTTCCCAAATGTTAGGGCTCCATACCGGTCCGATCTGTTTGATTTGTATCATCAAAATTTTCTCCGTCGGCTTGTATAAGGGCTAGAGTCATGACATTCCTGAACTGAGTCTCAAATTTCCATGTGGCTAAAGTAATAATTAGATCCCTTCTTCGCTGTTCTTAAAGTGCTCGGATGGATAGGTAGTGGAAATGGCAGAGGTTAATCACGTTGAAGTGTTTACCAATCCAAACATCAACGGTTTATTCCCCGGGCTCTTATAAAATTTTCGCATTATGTCTCTAAACAAGCGAACATCGCAGTTGTGTTATTGATGCATGGGGGGTTTTGTAGATCAGCTGCGTTCGCTGAGAAGCGTTATGCAAAAGTGAAACCAAAAATAAGTAAATTTAATGCTTAATGGGCGGGTTTTGAGAACTCCCGTCCCCCCTGTTTCATTGCACTTGCCAATCAGCACTTTGGTAGTAGCATTATGGGATGATTTTGCCTTATTTAATGAAGTTTCGTCAATTCTGCCCATGTTTTACTTCGTAATCTATTTTGATGTATTTCAGGCGTGAAATAGGGTTACCGTGGGTTGACAGTTTTCGATTTACACCTCATTTTCGTGTTTCCATTGCCAAATGCCTTCCTTTTGCCATTTTGATGCAACCATCGGTTGGTTCAACTGGCCCCCAACTTCCACTGATATCACTAAACCACTTTAGCTCAGAAATTAGCGCTCAGTATGATTTTTGAAATGTGCTGGACGTGTTCCATGGGGTTACTGGAATTGCCTCTTTCTAGGCGTGCAAACAGAGCAGCAAATGCATATCACATGGAAGTAAAACTACAGGCCTCTCTTTACGTATACATTCAAACTGCTATTTTTCCACCAATCTTCTCACGAATGATAAGTGCATTCAATGAGCACCTTATCAAGTTTCCCTATATCCAGTCAAACGAGCAGTAGCAAGAAGGATATAAACGTAGAGTTGGTCTATGTATTATCCATTTCCTCCATTATTTGAGATTCTTACTCTCGCACATATTTTAATACCAGTTCAATTAACTTGTCCGCTACGAGCGTCACGAATATGTGACCTGTGTTCTGGTTACCGTAAATCGTGTATTCCAATAGGATAGACGTTAGACGCTATTGGTCTGAGACTAATCACCTTGTCTGGTTTTTGAGTAGCAGTTGTATTGCTACATGGGTGATATGTGGAGTGATTAATGCCGGAATCACACCTTACCTTTGGGTGGTTGGTTCTGCTACTTCATATCACACCTTCTCCAAATACCACATAATAGACGTTGCAAAAAGCCCCCGTAGCTTTGTAGCTGACCTGTTATGCGATGAGTTCGGGTTGAAAGTGGGACGGAAACGGTCGACACACATCCATTAGTGCTTTACAATGTATGCATTTGCCACTTTCCTGGTATTAACCTTTTAAAGTATTACATATCCTCCTCTCTTTGGTGAAGTTAAAGGCATTTTTTACCGGCATTAGATGAACACAGAAGTTAATCTATGTATGATAAGAAACAATTAGTCGCACTTTTAAAATTGTTAAAGGTTGGATCAACTATTAGAAAGACCCAATCCCTCAATTTAAGGAATATAGGAAATCTAGCTTAGAATGATTTAACATTCTCTCTAAAATATATCGAACAAAAGATCCCCAATGATCTCTATTATGATTGCCTGTTTTTTCGCACAATCTCCATTCACTGTCGTAATGATTAGCATGATAGAGCGTTAGGTATTATAAGTATACTTATTGTTAATGCTCTCAGCGATACCCTCAAGCAATTCGTAGTAGAGGAGTGAGGAAGGACGACACGGTCATGGATTGTGGTGGCTTTCAGCTATTCGTCGATGATGCTCCGAAGCTGTTGGGTGCAAGTGACTTGTCTCTGCAGAGGTGACTTCGCATGTCCTCCACCAGCGTGACATATGTGACGCCTAGATCTTCAGTTCAAAAGGAATTTTGGAACAACCAGATAGGTTGAGTTTGCACAAACAAAGTAGGCGTAAAACATTCTTGATCTGATGACAACTATGTATTGTATTGTTTGAGCAGCAGTCGAATTAATCATTTCCGTGGTGCAAGCGCAGGTGTTATACCAGAGGAAAATTCGTAGTCTTTGGTGGTTGAATGTTAAGAGACAAATTCAGGGTAACCGTTGACGATAGTTGCGATGGATCACAAATCTCATGTTAGAGGGTTTATATTACTATCAATTTAATGTCTAAATAGCTGGCCTTACCTTTTATGACCCAATCAGATGATATACTGGTGCGTTTTTTTGAGAGTTGACAGTGCCAAACTATGTATATAAACGTCCAATTTCGTATAGCGTGGGATATTGCATCAGCTTTTAAATGGTGTGTACGTTTTTTGCTTTCAGGTGGTTAAAACGAAAAACTCGGTGCCTAATTGATGTCTCTGGAGACATTAGTTGGTGCTTTTGGTGAATTCTAGGTTTCTGCCGTTTAACCTCTGTATTCACAATGTTGCAGCTCCCAATCCGCTAAAAATTAGTATTTGACGATACCAAAATTCATTAAACCTCTTATATTCACTCCGAGTAAAAAATTAACTGATTAATTAAACGCGGCTGTGAAAATTAACAAGAAATTGTCGCTTTTTGCTTCAAACACTATAGATCACGGTCTCCAACTTGGCACCAGCTACGAAATTTTGCTTTCCACTTTTAGGAACGCTTAGTTTACATTTACAAAAACAGTCGAATAACTGTACATTGCGCTCCAACCATGTGCTGTTGCAGGTTCCAATCTCGCCACGAAATCTAAGCCCTTTTACAAACATACTTCGTTCTTGAAACTGTCTCTAAGGCACGACACAGTCTCCATGTTTAGCATTTAGGCTGTCACGCTAGGCGCCTTGCCAACGAGTCGCACCATCTCTTAAAGCATACGGTGAGCTTGCCTAAAATGAAGAAAAGGCACTTTCCACTTATTTAAGACACCCCAAGACATTTAGTCCGACCCTAGAGGACAACCTCATCTACTTTATATTTAGCACAGCTGAAAACTCCTGCAGTTTGTGACTCGGCGCTATCCCTCAATCGGACTGAGACCACCAATCACAGATGCAGGCCAAACATCCATTTAGACATCCGCCATTTCCCCATTACCAGTGCCGTACAGCTATTTATACACGATGGCAAAGAAAAAACATTACGATCCTGAGGTATTTTCATGATCAGATTCAGATCACATCGGCGTTACATGTCGAGATGTCCGACATGAAAGATGGTGCTGAGTCACTCCAACCATTCCAATAGACCTCTCACAAATTGGCACACTGAAACGCGTTTAACGTGGAGTGCAGCACCTTTTAAGCCGGGTTGAGCGAAATGTCACAACCACCGGTGAAATCGACGGCGAAATGTATGAGTAGGACTGGCGTCAGAGGCACAAACATGCAGCTGCGATGTCCGACACCTCCAAGTAGGCGGATCTGGAAGAGAGTAAATAGGAGAGAAGAGGAGGTGGGGGGGGGAGGGGCGAGAGCGTAGGGTGGGGAGCAGAGGGAGAGTGAAGGGGTGCGTCATTCATGTGGTGACCCAAATGACACCATCTTTCACCGCCAACTAGGACATTATCAATGCTGCTGCTACTACTGCTAACGCCAATGCATCTGCCAACTGAAAGCACATTGTGGCAGA